AAGGCATGCAGTGTCTCAGAGCAGTCACCATCAATGTTTATCCCTGTTTACAGGGAGGGAGAGAGATACAGATGGTACCGAATCAATAACATCAATTACAGGCCTTTGGAGGGTAACTCGGCCTTTAGGTCACTAACAATAGAAGTTTATTAGAAATAAAAACTGAAGAATTAAATGGAATGGACTTTTGGGGAAAAAAATTAGAGAAAAATTAAAAGAAGAAATTTGATATGAAGAGAAGTGTTGCAGATGCCACAAACAGCATGAGAGTGGGGTCTATAACTTGCCTGCAGGAATCAGATAAGCTTCTCTTCTGCACACCCCAATTCCTACACATTAAAGGAAAAGTGGGAGATTAGAAGTATCTCTGTGACTGTGTTGATATAAGATATATTTCTGAAAGGATTTGATTTTTCTCACTCCCCACTCCTCTCATCAAAGCAGCTGGGTTCATGCTTTTCCCTTTCTCCAAGAAGGAGTTTGCAGTGGAGAGTACCAGCCTCATGGAGCTTACAACTTCTTTCCCACTTTCTTTTCAGGAAACTACTTCATTCCCCCAAACAGTGAAAAGCTGCTGACATCCCTCATGCAGAAGAATTGTTAGGAGGGAATAACAGTGGTGTTAAAACCTAGTTACCCAGGAGAGCTGCTCACCCAGAAGTCATCTGGAAGCTGGGATCTCTTTGTAAGCATTGTTGCTTCTGTTTGAATATCTGAAGAAGATGGAAAAGATTTCTAGTGATTTCCTGTCTCTCCATTTGTCCCTTTGTGTTCCTGTGAAACAGGACTTCTGTTTATATTGATCTGCTTCTGAAATGGTCACAAAAGTGACATTCTTTACCTCAAGGCCATAAAACTGACATACCAGACCCTTTTGCCTGCCCTTGGTTGTCCTTCTTGGAGTTATATATTAGGCATTGCAATAACATGCCACAGCACACTCAGGTAGCCCAGACTCCCCATAGGACAGTTTCGAGTGCACAGGGAAAGGAACAACTCCTTTGTCATTCGCAATAGAATGGACAGGCAGGACAGAGAGCGTAGGGCAGCAGAGCTGCTCTGTCTGGTGCTGGCAGTGGCACCTCTCTTGATAAAGCTACTGCAACTCTTTGTTAGTAAGTGCAGTTTGGATCTTTGCATGTCACTATCCATAATCCCAAACACAGGACCACTCAAACATCTGATAAAAGTGTTTTGTCTCCATCCTCTGCCAAGAAGCAAGAAGTGAATCACTTTCATATTCTTACAGTGTTGTCCAATTTTTATGGTTCTCGCAATCTGCTCAAAGTTTAAGTTGGTTACTTTCAAATGCACCCTAAAAAAGTTGAAACACTCTGCTTGCAGGATGTAACTACTTCAAATTTATAGTCTGAGATAAAAAGTCCTCTCCCACTGAGACCCTTCTAGAAGGTTATTAAAATTAGAGCCAGTGTATTGAGAATCTGTTACATCTTTTACTAGTGAGTCATAACTTGTTCACTTGTGGAAAAATGAGCTTGCCAGTCAGCTAGGAGCTGACTTGCTGCCTTCCCAGTCTTTGTGAGGTGTCTCCTCTTTGCTTCCAGGTGGTTGTCATGATGGATGCTGTTCAGTGCAGGAAAAGCAATAATTTAACACATACTGTAATGCAGTGCACTAGCCCAAAGTATGATGATAGTAGCTGGAAAAAAATATTTTAAAATAGAGAAAAAAAAATTCTGCATAAATTAGACAAAGAATTAACTTGGGGATGCAGACAGTGCAATTAAATGCTCTTTCTTTGGTCTTATATTTTCTCCACAAAATAAGTAGAGGCTGAGGAGATGAAACAACCTGGAGTAAGTAACTGATGGAGCAATGTAGCATAAAAAGGGCAGGAGTAAATTGCCTTGAGAAACCCATCAGTTTTTCCAACAAAATCAACTAATCCGTGGGCTCCTAATGTACATACACATATACGTTTTATAGATGTGTTTTTTTAATCTATACACTTCCATAAGCATGAATATTATATTAAGATTCTTTCTACAAAAATTCTTACCTTCTATTTGCTTCATGTCATTTCCATCTCGGTAATTGTTGAGAATGCTAAGGCAATTTATGGGCACCTATGGGCTCATAAATCTTATGTGCTTATACTAGAGATGTATCTTCTGCATATATACTGTATCAGGTGGTTTCTATCATCCATCACTGTACAATGTATCTATGGTAAAAAAAAAAAAAAAAAAAGAGGTCTTGTACCAAATCTGATCTTTGACAAAGCAGACACCAGCCAGCCCTGTAGTGATGGCAGCTGCTAGATGGCTCATTATGGAGGGCAGAATGAAGATGTGTAGTTTGTGAAAAAACTGACACTTCCTCAAGTTTCTCCCCTCCTATGGATTTTTCAATGTCCTCAGGAAAAGAAATGGAAGCCTAAAAAATTTATCCAATAGTTATGCTTTCAGGAGAAGGTGAAATTTCTATATTAAGGTCCCAGCTATGGATACTAGATTAGAAAGCAGTTCAGACTGTTTTGAGTTAGAAAAGCATTTCAGATTGTTAAAAGTGAACAATAATTGACAGCAATGAATGTGCTTGGAGGAGGAATATTTCCATTTTGGGAAGAAGACTCAGAATGACACTGCATTAGCAGCTCAGCTCAGGACAAAGTTATGATTGTGCTTGCTGACTCTCCTCCAGCCCAGGGAGGCATGTACCCCAGCCACTATTGCTCTCTCTATCAGGACCAAACAAGAGCTGCACTGATGTAAACCCCTGAAATGCACAAACAGTGGGCACTGGGTCCTCAGCACTCCACAAACCTGCTCCTGCTGGGTTGCACTACTCAGTCATGCAGAGGTAAATGATTGAGCTAGGTACTGAATCATCTCTAGGGTGTTTGGCTCCCAAGTCTCTGCCTGTTTCAGATGGTGCTTGGGGCAAGCCTGGCCACCTGACTCAGGCTTCCCAAACCCATCATTGAAAATGGAGAATGAAAATACTCCTCTCTTCTTCTATCTATGTCTGATTACAAATGAGACTCCTACATGACTGAGAAGTCCTTTCTCCATTAATTAACTAGATTACTTGACCATGGTGATTGGTTACACTGAATCTTTAAACTTCCTACAAATTCATAATATAAGCATTCTCTATGCTTGACCATTAATTTAAATACTCATGCAAAGTCTAGGATTACTCAATGCTTTTCTCTTCTTCATGAAGGCTTATAATGACTTTAAAAGCATTAACTCAATATGAGGTCAAGGAATTATTTTAGCTGTGAAATCAGTTGCTTAATAACAGTTTCTTCAGAGTCAAGTAATCATGCAGGCTGTAAGGCTCAAGTAATTATTTCATTTTTCTGCCTACATATTAATGTATTTAACTACTACTCTGCACAAATAGAGAAATGAGTTAACAAGAGATTTTCAGTACTTGGGTTTACAGTGCCCAAAACATACAGAGAAGCATGTATCTGCAAAATTAAACAGATATTTCTGTAACTACTTAAGAAATCAAATGCTGTTTGAATGTCAAACATCAGTATATCACCTCTTATATAGTGGATTACAAGCAGGATCTCACACTGTTTTATCATTACTTATTAATGTCTTGTCTTTCATTATATCATGAGTCAATTAAACAAGTTTATAGTTGCAGTAGACAAAAGCGAATAGATTTGGGTTTAGGCATAATTTTTAATGGAAAAAAAAATTAGTATGATTATAAAATGTTTTTTTTCCCGATAAAATATTAAATATTTCATAAACAAAATATTTGATTTTGACATCACTGTGATGCTGTCTCTCTTTTTTAGTGTCAGAAATATCTATCAATTGAAATACGGCATGGGCAAACTGTTTTAAAGAATTGCAAAACTAACAGAGTGTGTTCCTGTCTCATAATAAACAATTGTTGAATGATGTTTATTAAAATTGGCTCTCAAGTGACAGTAAATAAATGCATAGTTCTATTATGCATGCTAAATTCAGCATTCTGAAAACTTAAAAGCAAATAGATCAAAACCAACAGAGATAAAAAAGTCACAAAGACAAAATACAGCAACACCAGAAAGTGACAGGGAAATAATTCAGTCTTAAAAATGACTTATAATTTGGTAACTTGTAACAAAAATTTTATAGAACTAAATTAGAGGTGAATCAGAGTCTTTCAGATGTTTTAGATATGCAGTTTCTCTAGTGCATATAGTTTGATCATGCAGCAGAGAAATTCACATTATGAAGTCCTCTTCAAAAAGGCAAAAATCCCAGTTTCCCTTTATTTCTGATTCCAAATTATGAATACTCTTGGAAAACAAATGAAGGACAAAGAAAAAAAAAAAAGAGGAAAAAAGGTTCAATAAACTTCAACTATTAATATATTTTAATTAAAAACTTTCAACATTTCTTCAGTATTTGGAGAAATTAGACTATATGTTCATATGTATGTATGTTTCACATATACCCAGACCATATCTGTACTGAATTGAAAAAATATTTGATTTAATGGGCTTTGTGTCCTTTACTGTAATCACACCATTGGCTCTTTGATGTTGCATAGGCTTGGTGTGATGACAAAAAGAGTTGCTTCAACCGTGTATTTTCACCTCTGTTTCTGAAAGGTGAAGGGCAAAACTTTAAATCAAGGAGCAGTTTATCTTTAATTAAGAAAAACATAATTAGGCATTATCACATAATTGCTATTACTGATGGAGAAACTCATATTTTCTCAACTAGTGACCCATGCAGTATTATGTCTCTGCTGTTTACTGCATAATAAATCTGTATTTGTGTTTGGCAGCTAGCCAGAAAAATTAAAAGGTAATCAACATGCTTCTCTGCAGTCTGGTCATCAAAATCTCTGACTTCACAGATGAGTAAATAACAAAGTCAAGTTGTGATGTCCTAACAGAAAACCCTCTTTAGCAATAACTATATTTATCTCCTCTGTTAAAACATCAAATGATACTTGAAACAACCATATACAAAAAGCTTTTCAAAACAGATGAGAAGAACTGTGCTATACACTTGGCATTGAGTTAAAAAACAGTTTAATGTCTCAAGGCACCACCACGGTAGAATTTTAAACCTGCAAGTAATCATCTAATACACTAGTATACAGTTAAGGTAATGTATTAATAAATAGCTTGTGCAATTTTGGGAAGCAATCTATAAAGGAATGTTAGATATACAATAGGCACGTACTATAATACAAATAAAAAACAAAATTCCTAGAAAAAGCATGCTGAGCACCTCTTGGTATAGGTTGAGTTTCTTATTCTAAACACTATGTAAATCTTAACTTACAAAAGGTAAAACTGCAATCTTAGAGTAACTGCTTATTTAAACTGATTTTCCTGGGTATTTTCCTCTATGTCACAGGATTATTCTTAGGGACAGAGGACTCTGGTACCGGCTGTAAAGGGCTGTCTTGTTCATTCAGTTGTGCGTTCAAGTTTTCAGAAGTTAGGAGAGAAGAATTAAAAACTATTTCACTTAAGTCTGATTTTATGGATACCAGATGTGGTTCTTGAAAATTCAATGGTTCTTCTAACACCTGTGTATTTTCTCGTGTCATTCCCATATCTGAGGGTGACTTTCGTTTCATTCTTGTGTACGATTTGTCTAAATTCTCCATGCCTTGGTCAGTTTTCTGAAATCGCCCAAAGAACCAGATGAAGAAACCAAACAAAGCAAAAGCCAGTAAACTTGGAATAAAAGCCAGGCATTTGACATCAAGGCTGGAGCCTGTGAACCTGCTGTGCAAGAACATGTCCCCTTCGGCATAGGTCCGGTTCGTCAATGGGTTAGTGTTATTGGATCTCCACTCCCAAGATAACTTAGTTCTGTTAAGGTCTTTCAAGCTCTCTGAGTCCTTCACTGTGTAGATCTTCTGTCCAGGACCAATATATTGACCATATTCATGAGGTTTGTAAAATATTTGGTTCTTCCACATATTCAGATCCAAGATTAAAACAAGGAAGATAATTCCATAGTTAAACCATTTGCCTGTTTGGAAAAAGAAAGTTTTGTCATCTGATATATCCATTTTAGAAGTAGTACAAATTCCATTATATGTAAAAATACTCAGAGAAAAAGAGCTCTTTATTATTAATCTGTAAAGTAAAGTTGTAAATAAATTTCCATCACAGTCAGATTTATGCTGAATATCCCTTAGTATTTCACAATTAGGTCTGGACACATAACAATTTTGTAACACAATCATACCAGTATATCTATTCAATTGACATTACAGTTTGTAAGTGATCGCTTGATTAGATCACTAGGTGATATGTTATAGGTCAATAAATCTAAAAAAGCATTAATTCCATAGCTTTAAAAAAAATTCATATTGAAATTTTCAATGAAAAGGCCGTATTTGAAAGAACCACTTATATTCCAGAAATTACTGAAGTGACTGAGTTTTTTGAGGTTGGTAATTATGTGAATTTTAAGAGTATATACCTGTGGTTTTTGATAAACCAACCATGGAGTACAGATATATTCAGGTATGGGCAGTCAGACAAACTGTGATTTATAGAATCACAGTGAGATTCTTGAGAAATACTAAGGGTTGATTGTAGACTTCAGAGTCTAGTCAGCTTAGCTATTTTTTTATAATCTGTGTCTGTGAATACACATAACAAATTATACTATTTTTACAGTCAGAGCATATCTTACATTCAAGTTGGACATAGTTTAAATCTCACCTGCGCAGCAATGACTGCCACCACCCAAGAACCTGGCAAATCTACATGGTCAGCATTAAGTGAAAATACGTACATGGAGGAATGCTCCTGCTGGTGATGAATGATCTTGGTCTTTGCTGGAATCATATTAAAGTATGCTTCAAATGAAAAAGAAAATGTATCATAGGATCTATCAAATTACTTAGGCTAGTGACTTGCAAAAAATTAATGGATTCCAGTTCCTGAAAGTATGTGTGCCCAAACTGTATAACCAGAATTCTTAAGGAGGGTAAGGAGACTAGCTTCTTGTATTCAGGAGTTATGTTTAATAGCTTTCTTCAGTTTAGATAAAATTGATTGAAAATAAACAAGAATACTTATTCTCTTCTGTTATTTTCACTGTCCAGAAAAATAAAAAAAACTGAACTGAAAAGACCTTGCAGGCAATCTATAATTCCTGAATAACTCCTCTATCAAAGTCAAGTTGGACGGGGCTTTGACCAAACTAGTGTAGAGGAAGGTATCACTGCTCACATCACAAGGGCTGGAACCAAATGATCCTTAGGGTCCCTTCCAACTGAAACCATTCTATGATTTCTCCCTGGGATTTTGTCAATTTTACAATTGACATGTTAAAGAAAACTATCTTTTCAGACTATCACCACCACATTTAATAATATTTAAGTTTCTTAACAGCAAGAGACTGAAAGTGATGCTGAAGTAGGAAATACTTTAACAATCAATACAATGTAACTTCATGTTTCCAGTGGATGTTTGCAGTGTATTTCATGTTTCTGTTTTTCCCATCAGGTCTGTCTTTCATCAGAAAGACACAGGATTCACTGATCAATAGCTGCTCTCAAGCACAATATAATAGCTGACTTCTTGTGTTTTCCTCAGCTGGGCACTTAGATGACTCTTCTTTACCTTACCACCACTTCTTAGGACAGTGTTAACATCACTGTTTTTCATATTCTCACTGTCTGAAAATGTTTTGAAAATGGCCATGGGCTCAAAAGTTATTTGATGCTGTGTATGATAGAGTGAAACCAACCCACACATAGAATAAAATCACATAATTCTCATTTCCTTAGGAAAAGTAGGCAAAACAAAAATTACAATGAAAATTAAAAAAAAAAGCTCCACCCCTTTCACCTTAAGAATTTAAGCACCCACCTGATCTAAGAAAGATACACTGTTCCTGTTTCATAGGAAGTATAAACTTGAAACTCCCTCACTCAGTTCCTAGTCAGAGCTATGCAGGCAGAAATGAAGCCCTGAGCCCGGCTGCTGGGATTGTTGGGTCCATGTGGGCTATACAGACCACTCAGGTCCATCATCCCACCCAGCAAAGATGAACTGCAACCTGCATGTCTAAATGGCAGCTAGCTGACTGAGAACAGCTGCTGTTCTGTAGAGGATTTTCTCAAAACTCCTTAAATTTCTTATTTCTAGAAAATTTTTCCATTCTCTGCATCACTGCTATGCTTGATGAGCTCTATGACTTTTCCTTTTCTTTTGAATAGAGTTGTCACCTGAACCAAAGGCTGTGTATGAGTAACTGTTTTACTATAACCATATCTGAACACAGTGACATCTTTCTGCTCCTACTCAGTAATCCCTGTAGCCAAGGGCTGCATTCATCTTCTTAGACACAGAATGACTGAGTTAGTGCTGTCTGGGGTACTTAAAGAAAGTATTTACCTCTTTCTAGAATACAGTGTCTTCTGCTGTCTATCCCTCTCTGAGACAGGTATTTCACTGCTGTAGTAGCAGGCATGACAGCCAAATAAGCCAACCAAGCAATCCTTCTAGACCTGTGATGTTTTGGAGCACAAAGATGTCATTGTGCTCATATGTGGTCGCACAGAAATTTAATATATTGACCAGCCTTTAACATTAGAACTTAAATGTTAATAATCTATGTATATTAAAAATGATTTTCTATTGCAACTTAATTTTAGCATAATCATTTTTATAGCAAACTTTAAGTTATACAGTCAGGCTTACATAGGAAATAAGCGAGGTAAATTAAAAGTCAGTCACAACCTTTGATCTTGCGCATGAACAAGTTCAAGTTTGTAAGTTTGCAAAGGATCATAATAAATACAATATTAAGGTATAGATATTAATTTTATTTAAAAATATTTTGAGTAGATGAAAAGTGACAAGGATAAATGGTGCCCCACACTGTGAAGTTATCTAACTTGTCTCTTAACCAGCTTCTGTAGGATTACTGTAACTACTGCTTCAGGGTTGGCTCTAATTCAATGAAATTTGTGTGGCCAAGAATACTGGCATATACCTGACCCCACTTAGCCCTTCTTGAATGGTTTATTCTAAGACAAAATTTGAAATGGAAGGATATAATAGGATCAGCTCTCAAGACTGGAAGGCTAATCAATCATTTCAGCAAACTGAAAAGAATTTTATCTAGTTTTCAGTGAAGTTAACAATGAAGAAAGTCATGTGGGAAAATAGGTTGTGCCATTCAGCCATGCACTACCTAAAAAGAGACCTGGTAAATAACTCTATAACTTAATAACTTTCATAGCACTGACATTTTACATGCTACACATAATATTTGGAGAGTTAGAAATCTGATTAGGTGTATTTGGAAATGTGGTACAATACTGAAATTTAATTCAAAAAAGATCCTCCAAAATCAAAATTGGACCCAAGAGTGTTAGTGTCCTTGTCAGGCTGTGATGCAAAACATGAAATGTTTTTATAAGCATTGTAGAATACAACCAGTATCTGGGGATGAAAATTCATTTCTGTTTTCTAAGAAAGCATGTCTGAAGAGGATTGTGACCTCCTGGCTAGCACACTCACCAGAAAGGAAAACTTGATTCTACAATAACCTGCACTTGTGGCATCTTGGACCTCCATCACAGGATCATCTGAACACCAGCTTGTACAGAACTCTGCCTAGAAACAGTCGCCCCTCCCTGCTGAAGCTCAGCAATAAGCACATTGAGCACGTGAAGCTCAACAATTCACTGCACATGAATGCCAGGGGTCTTCTCATTTTGAAAGAAGTATGGATTTTTATTTTTCTCTTTTCCAAAAATTGGCATGTTTTCAACATGGAACAAGATTTTTGGGCAATCCCACACACAGCATTTGGAATATACCCCAATATTCCAAACCAGCTGCTGATTCTGGAGCAGTTTCATTTCTGTATGCCCACTCTGGAACAGACCATTCATTTCCCAAAAGGAGGATCTCCTGTAGAAGCCAGTCCCCAGCAGCCTTACTGAGGTCAAGAGGTAACGTGAAAATTCCACTTAATAAGGCTAGACGCAAACAACCTCATGCTGTGCAACCACAGCCAGAGGCTAGTGTAGGAAATGTTGACTTTAGACTTCTATCTCAGCTGTAATTTGTGTCTAAAAGTGCTCAGACACTGCTGTAAAACCTTTGAAATGTCCCTCCTATCTTCTGTCACATTAGTGTTATTAGCTAGATACAGGCATACAGACAGACCACTCAGAGCTGATCTAAGATGTTAAACCTCTGAGGTTTTTTTCACATCTGTGTGCACTGACAGCTTTGTTTTTACCTCTAACCTTTCTATTTTTGCCCACAGACTCCCTCAGGCTGCTCTGTGTAGGCTTGGGCTGAATCCAGACAAGCTGTTGGTTTAACTCCACAAGCCAGCCATGCTGGGAACTCCCCAGCTCTGAAGGTGAGGGTTTCTCCTTTGGCTGGAAGGGCACTCTGGCCAGATCAGCCCTCAGAAACATGTCATAAACAGCCAGAGAAATCTCCCATCTCTCTTGATACCTAAACTATAACATTTTCAGTTTGAAAATTATCTGCATATTTGATAGTAGTGATTATCTGCTCCTGGATTTTCAGTGCAGCCATTAAAGAGGATGAGGCAGGCCCCCCAGTGCCTTTTAAACAAGGAAGAATCTGAAGAAACAAAATCTAGTTTTAAGTTTTACAAATTTCCCTGGGTATTATAGAAACTAGGATAGACTATGTATTTTCATAAACATCAGCCTAAAAAGGAAAATACACACTTTGCAATGAACCATCTGTCAAGGGAAATCCAGATGAGCTGAGCAGATGCAGGAATTCAAGTTATTTTTGATGTTCATAAAAAAGTGGCTATCAAAACAGAATGAAAATATTTAATACTCAGTAGATGCTTGCAAGAAGTTCCTAGCTGAAAATAAATGAGAGTAAAATGAGGTGCTCAGTTACCAGTAAAAATAAGGTAAACTTTTCATAGTAAATTTAAAATTACACTGAAGCATGTCAGCTAGAGTCAGGAGATGTTAATTCAATATTACCGCCAACAACATTCAGAAATCACAAGTCAAGCCTAAGAAAACATGTTATCAGTTTAAAGTAGCTTTTTAGACATTGAATTATGCAGAAGCAAACTTTTTTCCCCTGCAATCATGATCTTTATTTTATGAAAGATAATTAAAAAAGAACGAGAAAAAGAACAAAAGAAAGAACAAGAAAAAGAAAAAGAGCAACTGTTTAAAGACTTGTGATGAAATCAGGAGAGCTGGCAACACAGAACATGTAACTGAAATTTTCTCCTGTACAGAACTTGTTCAAAGCCATCAAGGACACACCAACAGAAAGGTGGCTTGAAATCCTTGACTTCTCGGAATGTTGCTTTCCTTAGAGCTGCTCCTTTGTGGGACCATTGCTTATTTGAAAAAGCAATATTGAATAGGGTTGCTTTTATTTATATCAATCAACAGTGACTAAAACAGACTGTGTAAGAACTAATAAAGAATAAAATTTGCCAGGAAGAGGATGGCAAATGTTATTTCAGCCATGCTTTCTTTCTCCTTGCTATTTGGGGGAAAATGGTTTCCAGTTTCTAAAAATTTGAGCACAGGTCATAGATTTACAGCCTGGATTTATCTATATAGCTAGTACTAAAAGAAATATTTTTCAGGCCTCAGTGTTTATTTTCTGCTAGTTACTTAAAAAGTCCTATGGTTAAATTTAACATTCTGGATTCTGTGTATTAAACAGGGCTTAAATAGAGCTGTCTTCCTGTCATTATCATTGTCCTATCCCCATGTCACCTGCTGCAGTTGCATCCATGGGCATAATTTTAGACTGGAATATATTAATCTTTATTATATATATATATATATATATATATATATATTTAAACCAGATTTTTTCTTTTACTAGCACCTTGATTTGAGTAGAATATTCAAGTATCTGCACATACAGACAGTCACTAGAGCTTGAAAATTATCCAACATGATGCCCTAACCTAAGACAAGAACTGATGGCAAGAACAGATGGTTCAAGCAAAACTTACCCAAAGGGAGGTTCTTGTGCCATGTGTTATGGCTGTTTATTAGATCTCCTAAAGGGTGGTGCAGCACTGAGATAAAACAGGCACTCAGCAGACAGGATACGTGATGTGCAGTCAAATGGATTGATTTGTCTAGCGAATCTAATAAATGGATCTTGTTAATGCTGAGCAGGGAAAAATTTTCCTCAGCCTTCATTCATTATCTCATCTTCATTAAAAGAATGCCTTCTCACTAGAAAATCAGAAAGGACTCCAGTCCTCTCTGCAGAAGACTACAATGCATAAATATTGGTTTTATTTGGTTGGCCTGTCTTCAAACAGCAGCACTGCTAGCGGTTGCATTTCTGATCACTAATTTATGTTCTTTGCTCTTGTTTATTCTTTGATTATCCCTGATTATCATCAATGTCCCTGTCTCTTCTACAATGCAAAACTGTTCTTTGCTCTTCAATTCCTCTTTTATCACCCATTAATTATATGCCAAGTTTATGTATCTGGTGACACAGCCCATCCTGCCACGCCTCAGCCATTTTCCCTGCTCCTCTGTGCATCCATTCCACTACTTTTCCTTATACAATGGAATAACAGTACAGCATCTGGGAACTTTGTGGGACTGAGCCTCTCCAAATTCATTTCCTAGTCTTGAAAAAAATAAAAAAAATAAAATAAAAAAAAAATTCTTTTTTGCTATCCCTGAATTCCATACCTGTAATTAAAATATTTGGTGCTTAAACTCTTGGTTTTTTGTTTTTTCTCTGCTCCTTTCTCTTTTTGCCCACTTGGGAGAGAAGAATATATTCATCATGTACACATCACACATCTCCTTTCACCCTACACCTTCCAGTCACTGACTGGGCCATCATTTACTTTATCATGTTCCATAAACCAACGATGGTTCAAATGTTTTCCTTCAGAGAACATGTACCATGTGCATGTACGAGCTCTTCTTTCTCTTTGCTGGCTGGCTGTTCTCTGTCAGCATTCCAGCAGGGCACCTACCTTCAACTTTGAAAAACTTTCTATCCCTACATCTGCAATTCCTGCTGGCCCATTTGCCTTCCCACAGTCAATAGCCAACAGGCAACTTCTGCAGTATTTTTGTCTTCTTTTCTGTTTTTTAATCTCATTTCTGCATTCTCTGCTGAAAATATCTTTTCTGAGGCCTCATTCAGTCTGCCTCAACTCAGTGCTGGTGTCATTCTTTCCTTGACACATTTTCTTCCCTTGGCTTCAGCTGTCTGCTGAGCTTGTGACTCACCTGCTAACTCTTGGCCTTATCTTTGTATCATCTCTGAATGCTCCTTTTGTCCCTGGTCTGCAGGAGTTTCTTTTGGCTTGTCCTTGGTTGCCCTCATCCATCTTATTTCTGCGTGGCATCATGTGCTGTGACTTTTTATATCAGCAGTTAAAGACCCCTGCCAATTCACACCTGCATTCTTCTGTTATCCATTATTATCCATCTCTTCTCAATGTAGAGAGAGGAGCTATATTCCTTTTGTATAGCTTGAAGGTAAAACCAAAATATTTATCCCTATTTAACCTTCCTCTCTTTTTCATTCCCTACTGTTTTTAAAATACTGACTCACAGTATGCAAGAATCAGGTACTTTTTATCTATATGTATCATCCATTTGAATCACTGCAATTCTATTTTATTTGAGGTTATTTAACTGTCTGCTTCTAGTTAGATGACTGATGGAAGTAAGGTTATGAGTGGCCTTTGCCAGATGAGAATTACTGAAGTTATGAAAAGATTTTAGCATAAATCATAGCAAAGGCATCTGAAAGCATAAGAGATTTGAAGATGAAATAAGCTGCTAATTTCCCTGAGAGAGTCATTTTAGATAAAAGATGTCTGAAGTTACATCATGTATTATTGTCACAAGAAGTTGCTGAAATCCATGAAAAGCAGCAGGCCTCTCTGATTTGTAAGGTACAAGTTCCTCATTTCCTTGAGATGGTTATATCTGGAGAATATGGATATGGACAGATAAGGAGATAGAAAAATAGTCTGGGACACACACACAAAAATCCACGTTTAAGACCACGGTAGCATACATTTATTACACAGAAGCAGTTCACTGTGTGACAATCTGTAAATTTACCTACCTGTTATGTGTATGTGATATTCCTCTTTCAGTATCTTTTGGAAATAAGGTACTTTGAATTGCATGTGTGCTGAGGGCAAGCCGGGAAGATTCACTTCAACATCACCCATAAAATGTGGAAACTCCCAGTCCTGTTAAAACAGAAAAATAAGAGCCTAAAAGTAAGCTTTCATGGTATATTTTTTCCTTTAAAATGGCTTAAATTAATTAAATAGAAACGTTCTATATTTAACCCTCCATTATTGGATTTTCTTACGTTAAATTTGACTAACCCACTTGAAATAGGATACCTTATTTATATTAGATATTACAATATAATTTTTGCCTCAACTACATGTGTATAAAAGCTCACTTCAGAATGACAGTACTTAACATACCTTACCAACTGATAGTACAAAACAGTATAAGAATACTTATTTCAAACCTGACAATACAAAGAATACCTATATAAAAACTTTGCTATGCTACTTACTCTTAGTAACTTGTAATTTGGCAGTTTACAGGTATGAGATTGACAAAGAAGGCCTGAGCCTTTCAAACACCACATATATCTGTATTCTACTTGTTCAACTTGTGTTTTCTGTATTTTGTCTCCATACATTTAAATAAACAATCACTGCAAGTGCAGACCCTTCAGCATAATCTGTCTGAATCAACCCAAGCACAGTTTTCTCCACTGCAATATTTCAGCTGACAAGATAATTTTGGGAATGTGGAAGCTCTTACCTAGCATTATGCATATTTTGGTAGCATGTGGTACCCCAGCTGAGGAAGAGCTGCATTCAAAGGAATTTTTCACTTGGTTATCTGTACCCACCATCAGTCACTTGAAAATGGGTATGATGGCATGGCTCATTAGAGCCCAAACAGAAAGCAATAGTGCCAGAATCAGTATGATTACTGCCAGTGTCATTACTCCGTGCACTGCAGATTGCTGATGATCTCCTCTTACAAACACACTGCCCCTGTTCCCATGTACACACCTGGATTTGTATCCAACAAGCTAGTGCAACAAGCACCCAAATTACTAAAAATAAAATAAAGAAATCCAAAATGTGAAGAACTCTGTGAGTGACTTGTGATTCCTTCACAGGAAAACCATTCCAGAACAGCCATCTCCCCATGAGAACCATTTCCATTATTTAATTTTCAGTTTTGTGAGGATGGAAATTTTCCTTACAGAGCAATATAAAAAAATAAGTATTAAAAACTAAGAATTATCTATTAAATTGGGAGGAGCTGCTGACTCCCTCAAAGGAAGAGAGGTCCTGCAGAGAGACTTTTTCAAATCAGAGGGCTGGGTAATCACCAGCTGTATGAAGTTTAACACAGACAAGTGCCAAATTCTGCACCTGGGGTAGGGCAGCGCTGGATGCACAGACTGGGGAATGAAATTCCGGAAAGCAGTGCTGCAGAAAGGGACCTGGGGGTCCTGGTTGAGGGTAAGTTGAGTTTGAGTCAGCAGTGCCCTGGCAGCCAGGAGGGCCAGCCCTGTCCTGGGGGGGTGTCAGGCACACATGGCCAGCTGGGCAAGGGAGGGGATTGTCCCCTCTGCTCTGAGCTGGGGCAGCCTCACCTCCAGTGCTGGGGGCAGTTCTGGGTGCCACAATATAAGAAGGATACAAAGCTATTAGTTAGAGAGTGCCCAAAGTAGAACAACAAATATGGCAAAGGGCCTTGAGGGGAGGCCATGTGAGGAGTGGCTGAAGTCTGCTCAGCCTGGAGAAGAGGAGACTGAGGGGAGACCTCACTGCAACTCCCTCATGAGGGGAAGAGGAGGTGCAGACACTGATCTCTGCTCTCTGGTAGCCAGTGACAGGACCTGAGGGAATGAGGATGACCTGAAGCTGTGTCAGGGGAGATTTGTTATATACCTCAAAAGGTTTCTCAGCCAGAGGGTGTTTGAGCACTGGAACAGGCTCCCCAGCTGCTGGTCACAGCAATAGCCTGACAGAGTTCAAGAAGTGTTTGGACAACACTGTCAGATGACTCTTGGGGGTATCCAGTGCAGAGCCAGACGCAGGCCTTCTGTGTCCCTTTCAACTGAGGATATTCTATGATTATATGATCTCTGAAAGATTAATCACTATATATGACTTAACATCCAAGACTTAGCTCTCCAACATTTTCTGACTTTTATGATCTAGGAATAGCACAGCCTGATCACTAACAGGTGATTTGTGCTAACTATTCATGATACTGAGTTAAATGAATTAATAGGAGTGTAAGTCAGGAGAAAATCTGATACCCTTTACCTGGTTCTTAATATTCACAGCAATGCAGAAAGTGTTAATTTACAGATGTAGAAGAGAAATAAGGATGCTCTCCTTTTGCTGTATCACTAATGCAATGCATGTACTCCTGGCAATACCTGCCCAGCTGCACAGTCCCCTACCCTGCATCTGTAGACATCCCCTTGCAGGTGGTAAGCGTTCAAAAAATGCCCAGAGATAAAAAATTTATGCGTTCACACTTCCAGTTCACAGTTTCTAATATACATCTCTGGGCTGGTGCCTCTCGTTAACTCATACATATTCTTACCTAGAATAAATAGCAAGAAATACATTCCATATTCCTGAAAATAAATGAATGGAGAACTGTGAACTCTGCATTATATTTACTTATAAGTAAACATGGGTTTATAAATCTGGCCTCCTGCTCCTGCCTCGCCCCAAGGCTCCTACTGTGCCTTTTGCTGATTTACAGATAAAATTCCTCCATGCAGAATTTTGTATTGGTTTGTGTCTCTGCAACTGAGTTTTTTATTATAAAGAGTTTTTTCTCATCTGGATGAGTATTACTTGATAATAACATTTTCTACATATATGCCCCATACTGTATGAAGCACGCCTGAATTGTATTGTGACCTTTATTACACTGAAGCACTGTAATATGGTGTGGCCATAACTAGAGAGATGGACACAGGCTGGTGCTGGAGTCCTCACAGCTATAAACAACTCACTGGTGTTCAGCTAAAGAAATGCGGATCTGGGCTGGGCAAAACTACTTTTAGGGGTAACAAGGAGAATAAAGAAATATCTCACATAAGACACAACCTGTAAACCCTTTCTGTAACCTGGAGCTTCAGATCAAGGAGGAAACAGCAAGATCTAAATGTATTATCAAATAGAAAAAAGCCCCAAGCAGCTCCTAGCATAAGAAAAAAGAAACCATCACAATGAAGATCATAGCTGTCCCAGCAAAGGACTCCAGATGCCAATGACACACCATACGCTCTCACTGAAACTGCCCATTTCAAGACCCACAGGAACAGAGGGAGGGTGGATGAAACATCAGGAAAAGCAGTAGAAACTAAGAAGTGTGTGCATAAGAATTTAGAAATAATTATTATTATTATTACTACTGCTACTACTTCTCCTACTACTACTATTGAAACTTCTTTCTGCACAAAAGAATTCTTTTCTGTAATGATTAGATCTCAACCAATAATGACTTATGGATTACCCTGTTTAACACTAATAATAAAATCTTTTCTTTATATATAAAGAGCCTTTGTCACCCATAAATAACATTTTGAATGTAACACCTTCACATAATGTTTATACAGTCTGTTCTTTAGGAACACTCCCATGAAATGACAGAAATAAAATAATTTTTAAAAGATACCAACAAATAATAAAATGTATTTGAAATAAATTTTAAGATAAGGAAACTAAAATAAAGAGTTAAACCTACTGACTTGCATGGAAGTCACTACGGATGCAGCAGTTAGGAAAATGAAGCTTTAAGTTAGGGATTAAATAGCCTTTGGATCTTCATTTGACTCACAGCTTTGGTAAGTGTGAGTGTCAACTGTCCTCAGAGAGACATTATCACCTGCAGAAACTTAGCTGTGGCATTATTACTGTGCCAAAGAAAAGTAGATTATTACAGTTTCAGGCTAGTGCCACTATCAGGCTGTCAAATCCAAACCAAACAAAATGGCCATTTTACCATCTAGATTCTAAGAAAATGTTGTCTAAAATCTTTTGAATCTGTTTGTTTGGTGTTTTTTCTTTACTGACAGCCAAAAGACAATTTCAGCCATATCCAGGAAACAATTTTCCTGAGAAATTCAAGATGCATTGTGGATATATTCCATCTCATTTGTTAACAGCTACAAGAACAGAGCAAATGTTCAAGCCCATAAATCCAAACATTTCCCATTGTGGAACACAGCTCAGGCCTGCATCATGTTTCCCTACATGGTATTTTCTCTGTGGCTCTGGCATCAGTCTGTGTTCACCGCTGGGACATGAGTGCCATGTGTTATGTTCTTAAAGTTCTCAGCTCATAATTAGGCAGAGTCCACTTGATCAGCTTTAGTCCTTATTGCTGAGGTGCCTGTACTCTGCCATTTGTGGGATCTCATTAGGAGCTGGACCCCAACTACCGTACTTAGAATGAATTGCAGAATTTGAAAAATAAAGCCATACAAACATATTGTATATGTACCTTTCATAGTGCATGAACAGACTGTTTCTCCTTTACATCCATCAGCATCAGATTTCTAATATTCATCTGCTTCAGTGGGTGCCAGCCTGAGGGGGATGGGACTGTGGCATACCTCTACTCAGTGTGTGGAGATGAAGCTAACCCAGAGCCAGCAGCTTAAATCAGCTCCACAGAGGTCTCTAACCTCAGCAGAAAGTTTTGTGGTGTGTGCAAATCAAATAAGGTTATTGCCTCATTTCACTCTAGTCATTGAGGAAAGGGCAGCCAGAGGATGAATTTAAGATCACTGAGGGCTTCATCCTGGTGTCGCAATGGGCAGAGAGCACCTCTGATTTCCATCAGCTACATCATTAAATGCAGAAGCACAGAAAAAACACGAGGAGATTGTGGTATTTTGATTCTCTTCCCTTTGGTTCTAGCTACCCAGGCCAAACAAGCACACACACTCTCTGCTGCAATGCCAGGTGTTAGTTTAAGACCCTACAGTGCAGATGGCAGCACCACTTTGGTTACCTCTTTAAGTAAAGATATTTTTAGCAGTGAGAACTGAGCATCAAAGCCAGACTTTCTGATATGGTCTGGCCATTTTCTGCCATTGTCTGATGAAAGAGAAGCATTTCCTGGGCATCCTTGTCCTGATCTCAAGCCAGGACACACAGCTGCCCAGGAGCATACT